CCAGTATGACCTATGTTGGTTCCCTTAAGTTAGTTAAACAAAACAAAAACAATAACCCACCCCTAACTGACTGGTATAAGGTTTAAGTGTAAACCAGGCCTAACTTTTTGAAATTGACTAGATTTCAAATTGACTGTATACCCTTAATTACAGTTTGAACAACAATTTAGAGACCAATAAGTGTTTTCACCCTCTCTGTTACTATTTATTTAAATGACAGACTATTTACCATTCTGGTATTCACCTGTAAGTACTTATTTTAAAAAATTAAAACAAAGAAAATAGTTACACATTACTTAGCTTCTGCCTCAAGAAATATTAACGATCATATCAGAGACACAAGGCAAGTGAAGTAATACCTTTTAGTTGACCAAAGTCTTGAAGATATAACAATATTAATAAAATATATTACCACCTCAGCCACCTCATCTACCACAAATATTAATACACTTCTCACAACTCCTCCGTTAAGTAAGGGGATATCAGTCCCATTTTACAGATGAGGAAACTGAGGCACAGAGCCATTAAGAGACTTGCCCAAGATCACATAGGAAGTTCGTGGCAGAGCCTGAAAAATAACCAAGGTTTTCCAACTCCCAGCCCTGTGCCCTACCCACTGGAACAAGCTGTTTCTTAGTTGTCGGGCCCGGTTGGTAATAATGCATTCTCCTACTGTTTAGTATGGCCATTCTTCGCATTTTGACTATAGGAACATAAGGACAGTTTTGAATAAAACAACTGACTCTAAACTTTTGCCAGATCTCAGACTGGATATGAACCACTTGTAGGGGTTGGGAAGAAGTCCATAAGACCATCCTTCCTGTCTCTTTAAAGATCAAATAGCTTCCCATTCAAACAACATTTTCTCCCAGATCCAATACATAATTAAACTAAAATCTCTGATGCAAGCTTAACTATGGTCTTTCAACCGTGCCACCATAACTGGAATAATAAATATTATATATCAAGTTATTTACCTCTGTCTGCAGATTCAGGATTCTCAGGCAGCCTCGGGGTTGCCATCTTTGTAAGTTTGTCCTTTGTATTCAAGACAGTAGGTTAGTTTTTGTTTGTTTGTTTGCTCTTTCTATTTCTTAAAGCCCAAGCAAAAAACAAACGAACTGAGGAAAGGGCAAAATCCTAGTACACCTGATACCAAAAAGAAAAGAAGTCTAATGATAAATTTTTACTAGGTGTATCTGTACTCTTTAACTCTTGACATAAGGCAGACACCTGATGAAACTCCTCTCTCTCCAGTAGAAGAAAACAATCAGCTGCTGGGGATTTACATATGCTATGTACTCTTGGGTCACATGACTTTTGACTCACTGAGGGCTATACATTCTTTATCTTGCTAGTCAGTTTCTCTCTGTGTCTGAGGACAGAATGCACAGGCAAGGATCTATTACTAATTGTGACGTTGGAAACTGTTATTTTCCATAGCTATTGCATATGCATTTTCCCCATGATATGCTTAATAATCATCTTAGTTATATGGCAGGCTTTTTTGTCTCAGAGGATCCCAACGTGCTTTAGAAATTTAAATGGTATATAAACTAATCAGTCAGGAATCATTTCATTCAACAATGAAGCCACCAACCACACAGAATGTGGCAACTGTTTAATAGCACACAATATTATATAACAGTTGAAGCCAAGACTTCAAGAAGCCTGATTAGCAAAGGGGGACAGACCTGCGTCCCAACCCTGCCCCCCTATCCCTCCAAAAAAGAGAGCAGGGGATGGAAAGCTGGAGGGGAAGGAATTAAATATATTTAAACATACTGTTCCAGCCATAAACTGTTTACAGTGGCTATGCCAGTGGTGAGCTGCGATTACTTCTCCTGAACTGCTAAGAGCCAGCCAGATACTCCACCTGATAGGACCAGAAGCACCCAAAATAGAGACTGAGGAAAATGGAGCCCAGCCAGGGCCACCCTTATCCTGGCACTCCCCTACACCCAGAACTGTGCAGCAGAGACAAGCCCCTCCCCGCTCCTCTCCAACACACACACACACACTCACTCTCTCTCTCTCTGGGGGCGGGGAAGGGGGGGGGTCCTAAGACCCAAGCAGTGCCTGCCCTCCTCCAACCATGTGAGTTGCAGAGCGGACTCGGGAGCCAGTCGGAGACTCTACATGGTACAAGGAGAAGCAGCCAAAGCAGGGACATTTGGACATGTCAAATGTCAAAACCATTGACTATTCTGACTTACTCTGCCCAGTGCTGCGGGCTGTTTGTGTCACCCTTTTCTTCCCTCACAGGCCTGGTCTACATTAAAGTTGGGTCAGCTTAGCTACATTGCTCAGGGCTGTGAAAAATGTCATAGCCTGTGAGAAGTAGTTAAGCCAACCTAAGCCCCTGTGTAGATACTGTTAGGTCAGGGGTGGGTAACCTACGGCCCGCGGGCCGGATCTGCCAGTTGGTTAATTTCATCTGGCCCATGGCACCCCCCACTGGGCAGGGGCCACCAGCGGTGGTTCGCCCCGCTGCGGGGGAAAGACCCAAGCCTCTGCACCACCCTGGGTAGATAGGTGGCCTGTGATTGATATTTATTGTGGGTCAATGGCCCGTGACAGAAAAAAGGGTTCCCCCCGCACCCCTGTGTTAGGTCAACGGAAGAATTCTTCTGTTGACCTAACTACCCTCTCTCCGAGAGTTGAATTTACTACAGTCCTTCCATGGCTGTGGTATGTGTTCACATTGCAGCACTGCAGCTGTGGCATTTCCAGTGTAGACAAACCCTGTCTCTTCACTCAGCTTCATTCCATTCCTGCCCTTCCTACCCTCTTCTCCCCTGTTCCCTTCCCTTTTCTTTCCTTATAGCTTATCCCCTCCTAATTAAACCCACTCCACTTCCCAAAACCATGGAACATACATGATGTTTGCTGCCTGTGTGTTAGACTCCCTTTCCTCATCCAGTCTCTGTGGTCTATTTAGACAATATTATCTCATTGTTTCTTTGTACTACTCCATCCATCTATATCAATCTGTTGTCTTATACTTGAGTTGTAAGTTCTTTGGGTCAAGGACTGCCTTTTTGCTCTGTGTCTGTACAGCACCCAGCACAGTGGGGTCCTAGTGCACGTATGGGGCTCCTAGGTGCTGTAATACAAATAAACGATAATAAAAATTGTGCACAATTATTTTGTTACCATCTCCCTTACCTCTACCACTGCCCACTTTTGTCTCATTGACCAGTTATGTCTTGTCTTTTAGATTGTAAGCAATCCAAGGCAGGGACTGTCAATTACTATGCATTAGTACATCAGCCGATGCAACAGGGCCCTAGCCTGTTTGGCCTCTAGGCACTAATGCAATTTAAATGCAAACAACAACAACTGGTACAAATTAATTCATCATATAAATCAGAGATGAAAGAGACCTATTATTTCATGCATTCTGTCTTCCAGAGTCCAACTGTGATTGTTTCTCACACTGTATTTGCTAGTGTCTTTTCACTCTAGTTTTAAATATCCCAAGCAATAGTACTTCTGCTTTTACTCAGGGAGAATATTCCACGGCCTGACACATCCCACTGTTAGGAACCTGTGCTTGGATTCAAAATATGTTCCCCTCTTCCCCCCGCCTCTTTTAATTTCATTACCCCTAGTTATATCCCTGGTATCATGTGAAATTTGACTCCACCCTCATGTTTCAACCCTTTAAATATCTGTATATCATCATGTCTCTCCCCAATCCTTTAATCACCACTTAACCAAGTCACATCTTTCACCTTTTCAATCTTTCCTGACCCCGCAATTAGTTTTGTTGTTCTTCTCTGAACTCCTACCAATGTGTCAATATTGTTCTAGTATTGTAGCACCCAGAACTGAATGTGATATTCCAGATGCAGTTGCACAAGACCTGTGTGATATCCAGGGGGTAGGATACCGGACTGGGAGCCAAGAGACCTGGATTCTATTTCTGGCTCTGCCACCAATATTACTGTGTAGCCTTAGGCAGGTCCCTTAACCACTCTCTGACTCAGTTTCTGTTGAGATGATGAGAATGAGGTGATTCTCCCTCTTTTGTAAAATGCAATGAGATCACCACCTGAAAAGCATTATGTAAGTGACAAGTATTACTAGTTTTTTCCAGTCTGTGACATCATGCTTCTACATATGCTGTTACATCACACGGTTAATTCCTGCACAGTTTAGCATCCACTTTCAACGTGCCTTCCCCCGCCATCCCCAGCATTAGAGCATCCCACACTTCCTTCTCCCACTGAATGTCTTTCTCAGGAGATTTCCCGCCACAAAGAATTAGCTGCATTTTCCAAGATGACTAATCTGCAGTTGCCGGCTCATATTTCAGACCTCTTCGTAACGCTATTGTGCGTCTCTCTTCACAGATGTTTGAAGCTTCTGCCCAGGTTAATTTTATGGACGGGCTTTTGTGAAACGCTTTACATCGTCACCCCCCACGTGCAGCAGCGCCCCCGCCCCCCACTCTTAGGGGACCCCCCACCCCACTGCCCCCACCCGCAGCGACCCCCCACCCTTAGGGGGCCCCGCCCCCTATTGCCCCCACCCCTAGGGGGCTCTCCACTACCCACCCGCAGCGACCCCCCACCCCAGGGGGCCCTCCACTCTCCACTGCCCCCCCCGCAGCGACCCCCACCCCTCGGGGGCCCCACACACACCCCACTGCCCCCCCTCACGAGGGGCCCCCCCACCACCAGTGGCCCCAGCAGGGATCTGTGCGCTCCCCCCTCTGACGAAGCGGCCGTGGGGAGCTGGGCCCAGGCACACACCCCTCCCCCCCCCACTCCGGGCAGGACCGACTCACCGCCCCCCAAAGGAGCCGCTCAGCCGTTAGCTACCGCCGCTTCTGCCCTCCGCGCCTGCGCCCGCCGCGAACTTCCATTGGCCGAGCCGCCCCCGCCCCGGTCCTCTCCGACTTCTCTCCCTCTGCGAACGTGCGGCCCCGCGCTCCAGGTTCCGGCCTTCCCGAGGCCCGCTCGCCAGGCGCAGGCGCAGCCCGGCCCCCCCGCCCGAGCCTTCAGCGCGTCCGCACCTAGCGAGCCGGGTCACGGGGTGCGTGCGTCGCCATAATGCGTCCGGGTAGCGGTGAGCCCAGGGTGCGTGTCGGGTCGGTCCCCTTACCCCCCCCCATAGCAGGGAACCCGGACCCCTCCCCCCAAGGCCCCTCATCCCCCATAGTGGGGAATCCGGACCCTCCCTCACCCCGGGCCTCTCACCCCACCACATAGCTGGGAACCCGGACCCCCACTGCCCCCCGAGCTGGGACACCCCCCTCCTGGGGTGCCTCATCCCCCCCATAGCAGGGAACCCAACCCTTCCCCCCCTTGGACCTCTCATCCCCTATAGTGGGGAACCCGGACCCCTCCCCCATCCCGGGCCTCTCCCCCCCCACATAGCTGGGAACCCGGACTCCCTTCCCCTCCCCGAGCTGGGACACCCCCCTCCTGGGGTGCCTCATCCCCCCCCCATAGCAGGGAACCCAGCCCACCCCCCTCCCTGGACCCCTCATCCCTCATAGTGGGGAACCCGGACCCCTCCCCCATCCCGGGCCTCTCACCTCCCCCCACATAGCTGGGAACCCAGACCCCCCTCTCCCCTGGGGCCCCTCATACCCCATAGTGGGGAACCCGGACCCTCCCCCATCCCAGGCCTCTCACCCCACCACATAGCTGGAAACCCGCCCCCCCTCCCGGGGCCCCTCATCCCCCATAACGGGGAACCTGGACCCCCCCCCCATCCTGGGCCTCTCACCCCCCTACATAGCTGGGAACCCGGACCCCCCCCCCCGGGCCCCTCATACCCCATAGTGGGGAACCTCAACCCTCCCCCATCCCAGGCCTCTCACCCCCCCGACATAGCTGGGATGCCGCACCCCCCCCCCGGGGGCCCCTCATACTCCATAGTGGGGAACCCGGAGCCCCTCCAACTCTCCCAAAAGTGCGACCTCTCCTCTCCAGAGGACCCTCACTCCTTGCCCCTGATAGCAGAGGCCTGGACCCCGATTCTCTCCTGGGGACCCTCACTTCCTGTCTGCTGGGGTCTCTCTCTAGGGGTGAGTTTCAGGCTGTTGGGTTTCCCTTTAGATGCTGGGATTAAGGGGAGTTTAGGGATATGGGGAGGTCCCTTCTCTGCCCCATCATCTGCCTCATTTCCCCCAGGCATCGCTGCTATCGTGCCCTGTTACCTCTCAACTCCCTCATTATTTTTTAATGATTGGGAGCTATCTGTGTGTCCGCAGCAGACAGAACGGTGCAGGGAGTATGGAATAAATGAAGGGGCCCAGCTTGATTCCTGCAGGGTCTATCTAACCTTATAAAACTGCTCTGCGTAGTGTCTTCTTTACAGTCTGATAATCTTAGAATTGGACGCATTTTATTTTTTTGCTTGCACAAGAAGCTTCTCTTTGTATTCACAGATTTGGGGCGAGAACCCCACTGAAATGAACATGTCTTCTGTTTATTTCTAGAAACGGGCAAGTGGCCGTTCTCTTCTGCGACCCATTGAGAATGCCAAGCTAAAGCATGGGAATAATTTAATATGAACGTGTAACTAGACTATCTACCATTGACATGAAAGATCTACAGGGAATATAGGCTTTGGTTACTGTGGTTTGTTTGTAATGTAGCCATTCGATCAAGGTGGCCATAAACACTGAAGAGCATTGAAGGATATTTCTAGCCCTGTATGGTGAAACACAAATGGGAAGAACAAGGCTTTTCCTGCAAGATTTTATCTATATTTTGGAACTGGACATTTTTTTACTTGTGAGTTAATTTTCATAGATTTGAAAGATCCACTCAGATTAATGTACTGTGCAGCTGTTTATTTTAGCCTAACTAAATATTTTCTGATCAGCACCTTCTCAACTAAGTACCAGGAAAGTTATATAGTCTGAATGGACAGAGCAGCGTTTGCCTGTTCCACTGTGTTCTTTCATGATTACAGCAGCGCATCTCATGGTGCAGTCTGCTTGCCCCAGGGACATGTTGACTATATTGAAAAAGTAGAATCGTTCACTTACTCCGATTTTTTCAGGGACTATCTGATTCCCAACCACCCATGTGTTTTCTCAGCTAAATTCACTGAGGGCTGGGGCAGCAGGAGGAATTGGGTGACTCGGGATGGGAAGCCTAATTTTGATTATCTACTGCAGCATTTTGGTAAGTGATTAAGCTTTTAATATGTAATTTAATATGAATGATAAAAGTCAAAGAGTTTTTAATAACGGCCTCTGGCCAATGACAAATATCCTCTGAGCCTAAAAGGATCAGTCTCTCCGTTAATACATTAATTTATAAGAATATATAAAAATGGTCCATTTAGCCCAGTATCCCATCTTCTGAGAATGGCCAGTGCCAGATGCTTCAGAGAGAATGAACAGAACAAGACCGTTATCGAGTGGTCCATCCCCTGTCATCCAGTCCTTGCTTCTGGAAGTCAGAGGTTTAGGGACATCCAGAGTATGGGGCTGCATCACTGACTATCTTGGCTAACAACCAGTGATGGACCTATACTCCATGAATTTATCTAATTCCTTTTTGAGTCCAGTTATACTGTTGGCTTTCACAGCATCACCTGGGAATGAGTTCCACAGGTTGGCTGTGTTATGTAAAGAAGTACTCCCTTATGTTTGTTTTAAACTTGCTGCCTATTAATTTCATTGGATGACCCCTGGTTCTTGTGTCATGTGAAGGGGTAAATAACACTTCCTTATTCACAATTTTCTACCCTCGTTTGTATTTTTTCCCCTTTGCCCTATTCCAAGCTTTAATTTAGTCTAAAAATAAATTTGAACTCATTTAGGGCCTTATCATGCAAATTTACGCTCCTTAACTTCATACATGTGAATAATCCCAGGCGCATGCTCAAGTGTTTGTAGGATCTATATTGGGTGGATGGGGGAGGAACAGGCTTTGGCTATTCTGGAAATCTAAGTCTCTCTTTATGCTGTGAGAGATTCGGAGTTTTGGCTGCAGCCCGTGTCCCGTTCCCAACGCACTTTGCTGTGATTCCGTTTGCAGTGGTACCATTGCTGCATGCCTCATTCCGTTGACACGTCCATAAATCATGCTATGAATAACGCTGATCTAAGGTTTCGTGGAGGTATCCGGAAAGTGAGAAGACGATGTCTTCATAAATGTTTGTACAGCACCTAGCACACTGGGGCCCAGATACTAGATGCTAACGTAATATAAATATGGAAGGATTACAGTTTTGGCGCCAGTTATTCTGCTCCCCAACTGGCTCAAAACGTTTATATTTCAGGGAAGGCTGTAGTACCTGTTGCCAACTGCGATGTCAAGGAATACAATTCTAATCCAAAGGAACAGATCCCTCTCAAGGAGTACATAAGTTATTGGAAAGAATACATTAACAAAAACTACCATTCACCCCGGGGGTGCCTCTACCTCAAAGACTGGCACTTGTACAGGTAAGAGAGCACTTTGGAATCCTCAGCATGCCGTGATACAGCGGTGAACTGCTGCTAAACCGTGACACTGATCTTTTGTTAGCTGATGGTTTGACTGAAGGCAGCTATCCACTGAAATACTTTTCTTACACTGTACTGATCTAAACATGCCACACACCAAAGAGTTCTTAAACATTTGCATAGTGTTGGCTCTTGCTTTGGCCTTTGGCTAGTAAGGTAAAAACCTTATCATTTTTAATTGTGTTTAATGCAATAAGCACTCTTTCCTTTTTTAAATCAAAGTAAATCATGAGGACTTTTTGCTCTTTATTTAATCTTCCCCTCCCATCTGCTCTGTTCCTGTCTCCCCATGCACAAGTTTCCCTGCTCCTTCTCTGTCCCTGTTCATGCTGCCTGGATGCATCCTCCCCTTCTTGTCCTGCCTAGCCGTCTAGTACTCCTCTCCCTCTGCTCTTGTGTCCCGTCTTCCTTGAATGGCTGCTGCTCGTGGCTGGCAGCTCTGCTGCTGATTTGAGTTTGCTACGAGTGAGTTCTGATTCTCCATTTGCGTGGCTGTGACTTCTCACAGAGGCATCTAGGCAGGGCCCTCTTTGCATATGTCTGTTTATACAGACACCTGGATATTACTTTGCCATGGAGTGCCTGGATGCCTGTAGAAGCAGCTGGAAATGAGGCGGCATCATAACATCAGCCACAGACCACACTGGGAGAACCACTGCCAAACACCATTGAAAGCCTACGATCCAGCTTTGGCTTTTTTGAATCTATTAACCAAGTGGGACAACTGACTAGTCGTGCAGATGTCTTACTGGAACAGACGTGTTTACTAAGAGGAATTTAATTAACTCTCACAACTCTCCTGTGAGGTAGGAAATCACAGTTGCGCCCATTTACAGCGCCCAGGGCTAGATTCACAAGGGGGACTTAAGCATAACTGCCCATATAGATTCCTATGTCCAAAATGTAGATGCTGTTGGCATTCACAAAATCACTGCTGAGCTGTCACCTAACCCTGTAGGCCATAGGCACCTAGGGTTCCCGAGGTCCCACCCTACTCAGCATTTCCTACTGGCTATGTCATAAATATAAAGGGAAGGGTAACCACCTTTAAATCCCTCCTGGCCAGAGGAAAAACCCTTTCGCTTGTAAAGGGTTAAGAAGCTAAAGATAACCTCGCTGGCACCTGACCACAATGACCAATGAGGAGACAAGATACTTTCAAAGCTCTGGGGGGGGGACAAAGGGTTCTCTCTCTCCGTGTGTTGCTTTTGCCGGGACCAGAGCAGGAATGCAGGTCAGAACTCCTGTAAAGGGTCAATAAGCAATCTAGTTAGATATGCGTTAGATTCTGTTTTGTTTAAATGGCTGATAAAATAAGCTGTGCTGAATGGAATGTATATTCCTGGTTTTCTGTCTTTTTGTAACTTAAGGTTTTGCCGAGAGGGATTCTCTATGTTTTGAATCTGATTACCCTGTAAGGTATTTACCATCCTGATTTTACAGAGGTGATCCTTTTACTTCTATTAAAATTCTTCTTTTAAGAACCTGATTGCTTTTTCATTGTTCTTAAGATCCAAGGGTTTGGGTCTGTGTTCACCTGTACAAATTGGTGAGGATTTTTATCAAGCCTTCCCCAGGAAAGGGGGTGTAGGGCTTGGGGGGATTTTGGGGGGAAAGACTTTTCCAAGTGGGCTCTCTCCCTGTTATATATTTGTTAGACGCTTGGTGGCAGCAGCAATAAAGTCCGGGGTCAAAAGGAAAAATAGTTTGTACCTTGGGGAAGTTTTAACCTAAGCTGGTAAAAATAAGCTTAGGGGGTTTTCATGCAGGTCCCCACATCTGTACCCTAGAGTTCAGAGTGGGGAAGGAACCTTGACAGACTAGCTAATGTGGCTCCCTGCTCAGCATGCTGACTTTGAGAATCCCCTTGTTTGGATGCCTGACTCTTCCCAGGCATTGTATAGGGCTCCTGGGAACCTGATGCAGGGTTGTGAATTCCACCTGGCAGCAGGCTGCCTAAAAGTCTGGTGTGTTGCAAAGCCTTGTGAATCTAGCTCTAGGAGGGTTATGTTGCTTGTAGCAGATGACATAGCAAGGCAGTAATGGCCTCAATGAGACACTGCTTGTCACCTGACCAGTATCTGCTTCTGAGCTTTGGGAAACTGAGATGATGAATGAATGTTTCTTTTCCCTGAAACCTTTTTTTGCAATACTTTGTCTTTTTAAGGGCTTTCCCAGAGCAAGATGTTTATACAACCCCCATCTATTTCACTTCTGACTGGCTGAATGAATACTGGGATGCCATAGGCCTGGATGATTATCGTTTTGTCTACATGGGACCTAAGGGTTCATGGTAAAGTAACTTCGATTTTTTTTAAATGTCGATGCACCGTTTTAAACAATTATTAGCATTGCAGTAGTACTCCGAGCTGTCAATCAGGACCAGGTCCCTATTGTGCCGGGTGCCACACAAGTATAACATAAGGCAGCTCTTTTCCCCCAAGGAACATGCAGTCTAAATAGGGACAACATGTGACCGACAGGTATAGATCACAATAGGGTTTGTGAGAGAGAGAAGGAACACTAAGGCTGCATGTATTGGCTAAGTGTACAGTAAATGTGGTGAGATAACATTGCTTGATGGCACTGTTCTGCCCAACATCTCTTGCAATGACTCTAGCCATAAAACCCACGGAGTGAGCTGGGAAAGGGGAGCAGCCTGTCCAATACAGGTCCCCATCCTGCATCCTTAATAGGAAGAATCTGGGGAGATTTGCCTGCGTGTGGGCTGCAGAATCTGACCTAAAGGTTGCAACCAAGGCTAGTAAGGGATACACGGAGGTTAGAACTAGTCACTCGCATTAGGTTCTCTGGCTCAGTGTATCCAGGGAGATGAAAACAGGAGAGAGAACTTGGGGGTATCACTTAGATTCTAACTCTTTGTATAGCACCTAGCACAAGGGGGTGCTGTTCCATGACTGAGGGTTCTAGGCACTACAGTAATACAAATAATTAATAATCATTGAACTCAGTTGTTCAATGACAGCATAGTGTATAAGTATCCCTGGAGCTCCTTTATTTAGAGCAGTGGTTCTCAAACTTTTGTATTAGTGACCCCTTTCGCGTAGCAAGTCTCTGAGCGTGACCCTGCCCTTATAAATTAAAAACACATTTTTTCATATTTAACACTATTATAAATGCTGGAGGTGAAGCGGGGTTTGGGGTGGAGGCTGACAGTTTGAGAACCCCCGGTTTAGAGTACGGTACTGAAGGAAGAGGAGGACTTGTGGCACCTTAGAGACTAACCAATTTATTTGAGCATAAGCTTTCGTGAGCTACAGCTCACTTCATCGGATGCGTACTGTGGAAAGTACAGAAGATCTTTTTATACACACAAACCATGAAAAAAATGGGTGTTTACCACTACAAAAGGTTTTCTCTCCCCCCACCCCACTCTCCTGTTGGTAATAGCTTATCTAAAGTGATCACTCTCCTTACAATGTGTATGATAATCAAGGTGGGCCATTTCCAGCACAAATCCAGGGTTTAACAAGAACGTCTGGGGGGGGAAGGCGGGGGGGTTGTAGGAAAAAACAAGGGGAAATAGGTTACCTTGCATAATGACTTAGCCACTCCCAGTCTCTATTCAAGCCTAAGTTAATTGTATCCAATTTGCAAATGAATTCCAATTCAACAGTTTCTCGCTGGAGTCTGCTTTTGAAGTTTTTCTGTTGTAATATCACAACTTTCATGTCTGTAATCGTGTGATCAGAGAGATTGAAGTGTTCTCCGACTGGTTTATGAATGTTGTAATTCTTGACATCTGATTTGTGTCCATTTATTCTTTTACGTAGAGACTGTCCAGTTTGACCAATGTACATGGCAGAGGGGCATTGCTGGCACATATCACATTGGTGGATGTGCAGGTGAACGAGCCTCTGATAGTGTGGCTGATGTTATAAGGCCCTGTGGTGATGTCCGCTGAATAGATATGTGGGCACAGTTGGCAACGGGCTTTGTTGCAAGGATAGGTTCCTGGGTTAGTGGTTCTGTTGTGTGGTGTGTGGTTGCTGGTGAGTATTTGCTTCAGGTTGGGGGGCTGTCTGTAGGCAAGGACTGGCCTGTCTCCCAAGATTTGTGAGAGTGTTGGGTCATCCTTCAGGATAGGTTGTAGATCCTTAATAATGTGTTGGAGGGGTTTTAGTTGGGGGCTGAAGGTGACAGCTAGTGGCGTTCTGTTATTTTCTTTGTTAGGCCTGTCCTGTAGTAGGTGACTTCTGGGAACTCTTCTGGCTCTATCAATCTGTTTCTTCACTTCCGCAGGTGGGTATTGTAGTTGTAAGAATGCTTGATAGAGATCTTGTAGGTGTTTGTCTCTGTCTGAGGGGTTGGAGCAAATGCGGTTGTATTGCAGAGCTTGGCTGTAGACAATGGATTGTGTGGTGTGGTCTGGGTGAAAGCTGGAGGCATGTAGGTAGGAATAGCGGTCAGTAGGTTTCTGGTGTAGGGTGATGTTTATGTGACCATTGTTTATTAGCACTGTAGTGTCCAGGAAGTGGATCTCTTGTGTGGACTGGACCAGGCTGAGGTTGATGGTGGGATGGAAATTGTTGAAATCATGGTGGAATTCCTCAAGGGCTTCTTTTCCATGGGTCCAGATGATGAAGATGTCATCAATGTAGCGCTAGTAGAGTAGGGGCGTTAGGGGACGAGAGCTGAGGAAGCGTTGTTCTAAGTCAGTCGTAAAAATGTTGGCATACTGTGGGGCCATGCGGGTACCCATAGCAGTGCCGCTGATCTGAAGGTATACATTGTCCCCAAATGTAAAGTAGTTATGGGTGAGGACAAAGTCACAAAGTTCAGCCACCAGGTTAGCCGTGACATTATCGGGGATAGTGTTCTTGACGGCTTGTAGTCCATCTTTGTGTGGAATGTTGGTGTAGAGGGCTTCTACATCCATAGTGGCCAGGATGGTGTTATCAGGAAGATCACCGATGGATTGTAGTTTCCTCAGGAAGTCAGTGGTGTCTCGAAGGTAGCTGGGAGTGCTGGTAACGTAGGGCCTGAGGAGGGAGTCTACATAGCCAGACAATCCTGCTGTCAGGGTGCCAATGCCTGAGATGATGGGGCGCCCAGGATTTCCAGGTTTATGGATCTTGGGTGGTAGATAGAATATCCCAGGTCGAGGTTCCAGGGATGTGTCTGTGCGGATTTGATCTTGTGCTTTTTCAGGGAGTTTCTTGAGCAAATGCTGTAGTTTCTTTTGACAGGTTTCAGAGGACTCTCAGTGGGATCAGAGGGTAATGGCTTGTAGAAAGTGGTGTTGGAGAGCTGCCGAGCAGCCTCTTGTTCATATTCCGACCTATTCATGATGACGACAGCACCTCCTGTGTCAGCCTTTTTGATTATGTTGTCAGAGTTGTTTCTGAGGCTGTGGATGGCATTGTGTTCTGCACGGCTGAGGTTGTGGGGCAAGTGATGCTGCTTTTCCACAATTTCAGCCCGTGCACGTCGGCGGAAGCACTTTATGTAGAAGTCCAGTCTGCTGTCTCGACCTTCAGGAGGAGTCCACCTAGAATCCTTCTTTTTGTAGTGTTTGTAGGGAGGTCTCTGTGGATTAGTAAGTTGTTCAGAGGTGTGTTGGAAATATTCCTTTAGTCGGAGATGTCGAAAATAAGATTCTAGGTCACCACAGAACTGTATCATGTTCGTGGGGGTGGAGGGGCAGAAGGAGAGGCCCCGAGATAGGACAGCTGCTTCTGCTGGGCTAAGAGTATAGTTGGATAGGTTAACTGAAGGAATTCTTCAAACCTGCAGTGCCAGCTGCAGCCTCACGAGGGTGCTGACTAGTTAAGTGAGCACTTCTCAGCTGGAAATCACTATGACCCAGAACCACAAAGTTTTTTAGGCTCCTAACTTCCATTGAAATCAGTGGAAGTCTAAATACCTTTGTGGGTCTGGGCTTGAGTCTAAAGTGTTGCCATTCGTTGGCGATAAACCAGCCCTTTCAGTCTTAGCTTCAGCCCAAACTGCAGAATCTGCTGCCTTTGAAGTGTGAGGTTCAAATTGAAACCTAATACTTCAACACCAAAAAGTGGGGCGAGGGGGTGTTGCTGACCCCCCTGCCCCCAGTTTATTAATAGGGTGCCTTGTTGCTCCTTAACACATGACAATTGAAAATAGTCTGACAGGGCCACATTCTCGCTTCAGCTATGCCTGCACAGCTCAGATTGATTTGTGTGGAAATATCCAAAGCCAGAATATGCCCATAGTCTTAACTTTACTTGATTTGTGCTTGTTTGCATTGTATTTGCCTTTTGCATCACACGTGCTTAAACCTTTGACTTGACCCACAGGACTCCTTTTCACGCCGACGTCTTCCGCTCCTACAGCTGGTCTGCCAATATCTGCGGGAAAAAGAAATGGCTGCTCTATCCCCCCAGGCAGGAGGAGTACCTTAGAGATCGCCATGGTAACTTGCCCTTTGATGTCACCGCGCCTGGTCTTCAGGACAGCAGCATTTACCCACGCTATGCCCAAAGCTGCCCCCCTGTTGAAATCATCCAGGAAGCAGGGGAGGTAGTCTTCATCCCTAGTGGCTGGTACCATCAGGTGTACAACCTGGTAAGACAATTGACAACTTAGGTTTATATCCGTTAACTTCCTGAAAACCATCTGAAGAGTTGCCCTAACTAGCCAAAGCCACCTCTTTGGAAGTGACAATTGCATTCCATGGGAAATACACGCTCAGAACAGCAGTGTATGACCCCAAGTGTTACAGGGTTAGCCTTATACCCGAAACAGCCAGTCTGCGGAAAAGTGACTTGTGTAACACTAACAGCAAGGGATTCTAACTTAAACAGACCAATTTCTAGATGTAGCCACAAGATCATCAATATACTTACACACTAGAAGCAAGAGGAAGACCAAGGACGGGGTGGGCCCATTACTGAATGAGGAGGGAAAGACCACAGAAAATGCAGCAATGGCCAAAGTGTTTAAATGCCATTTTTGTTTCAGTTTTCACCAAAAGAATTAGCAGTGGTCAGATGACTAACACATTTCTGTGATTCATTAGCAAATCAAAAGGTTTTGAGTAAGCAGTAAAATTCTTCTGAGTCTTTAGCTAATTCTAAAGGAAGAAAGAAACCAGTTTACGCTTTATCACTGAGTTCCCATACTGTCCTGTCACGGGTTGGATTTCTCAGCCTGGTTGCTGCTGGGAAGAAACTCCGAAGTTGGACCCAGGAGGCCTAGTTTGGGTTTTGCAAAATCTTGGCCTTTGGATTTTGCAAAATCAAGTCATATGGGGTATTTTAGATCCCTCTTCTGTTTAATCCACATCACCAAAACTTCAGCAGTTCTCCTGAAAATGTGATTCTGGTTTTGGCCCATCTTTAGAAATTATAGCTTTTGCTGAGGCAAAACCTGCAAAATATAAGGCGTGATGAGGGAAAGCCAGGCTAAATGTTTGGTGGCAGCAGAGAGAGACAAAGGCCTGGATCCTCACAGGTATTGATTTCAATGGAAGTTAGGAGCTTAAATATCTTTGAGGATCGGGATCAAAGTTCATAAGAACAAGCTTAGATAGGGCTTTAAGAAACCAAGACCCCAATCATTCACTCAGATCCCTTGTGCCCTTGAGGATCCACTTGCAGGAGAGAGGCCCTGGAGGATAGTTTTGAATGGGATCCTGACATAAATTGGGAGGGGTTTGGGGTTTTTTTTGATAGTGGGGGAAAGTAACAGTGTATCTGTGCGATGTTTGGTTTTAAATGCATTTCATAGCTGGAGGCTTGGGTGCACATCAAAATCTATAGGCAGATGCCTTTGGGGTTAGAGTTAGTTCAATCACCTCTGTGCTGTAGGCACTGTTTGTTTGTTTTATCTTGCTCAGTGCAAACATAAAATGTCCCAAATGATCAGTCTCTGCGGTAACTATATTGAAGTAACAGCAGGGAGTAACCCTGTCCCATTTTTATACATAGCAAAAGATGCTTCTTACCACTTGATCATTTAGAACACTAAGCAAAATAGATAATTCTCGTCTATATCCTGCATTGGCTGGGAAAGGAGTGGATGACATGGGGGATCTCGGACATCCGACTCACACTGTCACATACAGTGTGTCCTTCAATATCAACACTTCAGCTAATTAAAGCCTCTACATTAAAAGTGTGGGTCACAGTACGGCACAGTACTGGTTGTAGAGGTGGGCACAATTGCCAAATGGCAGTGAGAAGGACTGAGGATGGGGGAAGCTTAGGAAGCAGGGTTTGATTAGCAAGGGAGTTAAAAAGAGGTAGACATTGAAGATAGTTGAGGCCCAGAGAGGCCTTTCCATTCATTGAGGATGAGAGATTAACTCTTGTTGGCACCAACTTTGTGGAAATCAGTAATGAGGTCAGAGACCTCACCCCACAGGCCCTCACATTAATAACCAATTAGACTCTGTGGTTTCTTCCAGGAGGATACCATTTCCATCAACCACAACTGGGTGAATGGCTGCAACGTGGCTATCATGTGGAGCTTCCTGCAGGATGAATTAGCAGCCGTCCAACGGGAAATCAGCGAATGGAGAGACACTATGGAGGACTGGCACCTACAATGCCAGGTATGACACCCAGTCAGTTCAGTGATGTGAGCCCTACTTTTCTTAGACTATTGTAGCCCCTATACATAGTGCATTTCAATGATACTGGACACCAAACTGATCTGTATTGAGAGGTCATGCTTTGTTCCAAGCTGGGAAACAAACTGTCCAGTTTGTTAGATGATAGATTATCCCTTAAGTCTCTCACTATCTCATTGATGCAACACTCAGTGTATATGCTACTGCTTGTACTTATTTGCTGCTTCAGGCAGGTGTAGAATGTGACTGAAGAAAGTTTGGTTTGTTAATCTGCACTCATTAATTCAATTTTTACACCTTTCAATTACTGCTAGGTTTGCTTTGTTTCATAGGAGATGCTGCCTATAGTATTTCCCTGCATGAGATCTCTCTCTAGCGGAAATAGTAAACTCCTGTCTTATTGAGCTGGGGAAACTCCAGCCAGTAGAACTGGTCAGATAAAAGTTTACTGGAAACTCTGGGGATACTGGGAAGTGTTTTGTTGGGACCAGTGAGATTTCCTGTCAATTAATGTATTTTACTGTAATTAGGCATCAGAAAATCACAAACAGGAGTCACACACTGAAAAGAGTTTAACTACTTAGTGTCTTGATAAGGCAGCTGCCTTTAGCTATCTTACTAGTGCAGTTAATATGGAGTCAAGGTTTAATGTGTTTTTTTTTTTTCTCCCTTAGGTAATCATGAAATCTTGCACAGGCATAAACTATAAGGAGTTCTACAACTTCCTTAAGGTAATTGCAGAGAACAGGATTTCTGTCTTAAACCATGTTCTAGATGAAGAAGCTTCAGCAAAGAACCCTCACAGAGTTGCCACCTCTGCTCTGGGCATGCTCCATGCGGTGTTTGATTTAAAAAGGACTGTGCAAGTGTTAACATCCTTAAATGCTAATGAGGATTTCAAGAAACTGAACCCTAAATCACTGACCCCACCTCCAGAGGCATTCCTGCACCACTTGAAAGCAGCAATAGACACAGCACTGTTATAGTTCTATATTTATTCAAGTATTTGCACCTCTTGCAACCTAGCTGCATGTAGACAACTCATGAGAAGTCTTCATATTTTCCCCCTGTTAGAGTTTAAGCACAATGAGCCTTAATGTGGATAGGGAGGACGTGGATACAGAATCAAGAGAAAAAGCATGTTAGGAAACTGACTACACGACATTAAATTTCCCATTTATATTGGAAACCACCGTAAAAAGGGAAGAAGTCTCCAGCAGAGTCAGAGATTAGATTCATGCCATGTAGTAGAATGCAAGCAGCTAAACTGACCATAGCAGGAAGAAGTTATGGTCCTGAGAATCAGCCATGTAGGAAATTCAGCCATTGGAGTTGTCTAAAACCAAAAGGATGAACTTTTGAGATGTATCCTCTCAATTCTGCACACCAAAGCATCTATATTTCAACAAGTTCACCTCTCTGTACTGAGATCACCTAGAGCCTGAACAAGAAGAGTTTTAGAAAGGCAAAAACATGGAAGTCCGTATGTAGACTTAGACTATGTGTTAATGAAAGGAAGTGTATTAACACTCTAAGGGCAGGTCTTCACTACTCGCCGGATCAGCGGGTAGCGATCGATCTATCGGGGGTCAATTTATCACGTCTCATCTAGACACGATAAATCGATTCCCCGAATGCACTGCCCCTCGACTCCGGAACTCCAGCTTGCGAGAGGCGGAAGCAGAGTTGACGGGGGAGCGGCAGCGGTCGACTCGCCGCCATCCTCACAGCCAGGTAAGTCGACCTAAGATACTCCAACTTCAGGTACGCTATTCACGTAGCTGAAGTTGCGTATCTTAGGTTGAACCCCCTCACTGTAGACCAGGGCTAAGAGCAGTGCTGTGTGGTTACATAGCACACCCTATGAACTTAAGGGTAATTAATACACCTTGAAAATGATTGTAAGGGAAGTGGCCTCACAAGCATTTTTAGTTAAACTATAAAAAACACTCCCATTGCTGTTAGGGGGTTGCAGTAAGTCTCATTCTCAACAGGGGTGTGAAAAGTTTAATTCTAGCCAATAGTGCTTCCATTAAGATTCTAGTTGAAGGTTTTCAAGCACGGAGCTGGAACTTAATCAGTCATTGACCTATGAGGTGACCAGTACGGGTGACTACTTAAAGTTGCTGTTTTTAATATTGCACATTAAAATATTTAAAAATGTCAGGGCAGATCTCATTCTTTCAAAGGTTAAACTACTACTACTCTGAAATAAACATGTCTTGCCTGTGCTATTTAGTAATAGATGTTCTGGACTGGCACCGGGAAACTATACTATCTTCCATGCAGAGCTCTGAAACCTGGGGAAGGATCTGACTTTTCTTTCTTGGCTATGAACGATGACTGGAAATTGCACAGGCTCAAGAAGGGGCTCTGGGAGCCTCTCTTTGGACTGGAAAGTTGCCACTTTTGAGCAACTGTGAAACTAGAACAATTCACGGCTGGCACTGAACAAGGTTTCCTTTGTCAGACAGCCAAGGGCAACTGTTTCTGCCTTCCATCCCTCCTTCTGTGGGCTGAGGGTTCAGTGGGCCTGAATGGGATCTCCGTTACAGTGGTGGAATTCCATTGGCTTCAGAGAAGTCATGCCTGATTTACACTAGCCTGAGAGCCAATTTTGGTCCATTAGGCACCCAATCCTGCAACATACCAATTACTACCATAGCTACCCAGCATTTCCAGCTCCCAGTGAGTGCAGTGGGAGCTGAGCATCCACTACCTCCATGCTCCAAGGCATATAGTTGCCAAGTACCTTGGAAAGTAATGCTTCATCATGAGTACTGATCCTCGCTCCTACCGTCTTTACCTTTGGCTACGTTGTTCTGTTCTGTAGAAGTTCTTATACCACACTCACAGTAGTATGCAATAAGCAACATGACGAAACCCAGCTAGATTCATTTGCTAGGGCTTAGGTGTGTGTTTACAATGTGGAGTTTCTTTACCATGCTTGTGGGGATTAAGCATTCCAGGGAGGACTGTTCACAATAGGACTTGTCAGCTAAGCACACAGGGTTGTTCTAACCACCAAAACCACAAATTCACTGAGATTTCTGCTCGGCTACTGTGATGTTTTCTCAGCATGGCCAGGCTGGTGAGTCATCTTGTTAGCCTCAAAGGAAGCTCTGTTGGTGCTTTATTGGGTGTTAGTGGTGTGACACCACCAGTTTGTGAGGCATGCAAACAATGTCAAGGCTTATGCCAGCCCTCAGTTTGCTTTGCAGCTTAATAGGTTCAGCCCAGTCCCCCTGAAGCATGCCCTGTCACCAGCTGCTCACAGAAATACCAGATTTGCTGCACCCAAGGAGCCAGCCTGTACACTAACTTGTTTGATTGAACTGAGGATCAGCTGTATAAACACACCAGTACTGAGCGGTTTACAGTGCAAACACATTTATCAAAGGTGCCGAGTTGACGGTAAGGATAATGGAAACAGAAAGGTTACTAAACTAAATCAACACATGCTTTCTAGAGACTAAACACACTAACCATCTGCTGAAACGCAGTTGCTTCTTGCCATGTCTTTAACCCAGAAATATAATTGCACTTTCTGATGTGCAGGATAAAGAGGTGTTTGTGTCTTTCCCCTTATGTTCCCCAATGCCAGTTTGTTCCTATAGTCAAGATGACACCCTATGGTTTATTTCCTGATGTGCTGACTTCACCGCTTCCTGTTGACTTTTATATGCAAACAAGGCTTCTATTGTTTGGGCTCACAATGCTTAGTTCACCTGTTTGCCACAGTTCACATGGCAATATATGTCCTGTGCTGCCAGAAACCTGTCAATCCTGCCTTGATTCAAACTTTTAGGAACATAGTTGCAGTATCTCATGCATGGTATTTGTACATATATTTCACAATCTCATTAATGACAAGTGTGATGCTGGCTTTTATTGGAAACTTCTCATGACATTCTTTATGGCTAACTACCATGAAAGCAGTGTCTAGGTGTGGTGAGTTTGTCAGGCCTGTTAAGGAGTTGCTATTACAGCATAGCAAAGCTGGTGGTATTGAGGTGTTCTTAGGATCACAGTCTCCCATCCAGCAGAGAGATTCTGCAATTGACAGCATGATGGGTGAAACACAGCTGAAGCAACTCCATGTCTGAAGTCACGGTAGCTTTGCAGGAGTAAGATTTGTTAAGCCAGTAGCTACAGGTTGATAACTTTAGCTTGACAGTGTCAGTTACACACCAACCACCAGGTTTTTAAGTTGATGCATGCTGGAGCACGTAAGATGCAAGCTCATCTTTTGTGAGAATATTCTGTGCACACAATGGCCAACGTACATATACCTCAAGAAGCTTCCTTCCATTGGCGCTGACCTGTGTTGCACCTGATACTCTTGATGCGGAGTGTAAATACCTCCTCTACAATATTTACAAAGTCAATCTGAAGTGTACTTATGTTATTTATTAGAGTTATTAAATACTACACTGTTTCCTCCCATGTTGTCAATGGTACCTTATCTTTAGGGTAGAGATGCACAGTGTTGCTGTTCACTGCAAACTTGTGCACTCCTTCTAGCATGTAAAAGGAGAACCCAGTACTTCAAATGGTCAGAGAGGGCTGAAAATCTCAACTGAACCCTTCATCAGAAAATCCAATTTCATTCAAATGGCTACTGGAACTTGTCAGTTTCAACAAAATTTGACGTGAAAGAATCAAAGTGAATCATTTTGGTAAGGTCAGAATGTTTTGACAGCCAATAAGTGATATTTCAGCATTGTCAATGATTTAATGGTCCCCCATCTAAATATTTTCAGCATTTTTCTTCTGCTGGAACCTGACCTTGTTCCAATTCAGCGTGAAGATTTTAAATGTCAGAATTTCCTGCAGGTTGGAAGTTGTGGTTTCCAACCCGCGCTAGTCCTGTTTACAGCAGACTGACATAGCCAGCAGCACTCAGGGTCTATTATTAGATGACAGGGAAACTCTGTCCCCATTTGTTGTGAATGTGGTGCCCATGCAATATAATGAGTAGGGGGATTTTTCTTACGAATATGCCCCATTTCTCTAGTGTGAGCTAAACGGCGACCACTCGAATTCACCTCTATTTGTATCTTTCTGGAGGGATACAGAGGAAAATGAAGGCAAGGCAGTCTGGTGGTTAGAGCACAGGACCCAGGGGAACTGGCTCCAATTGTCACTGGCTCACTGTGACCGGTGACAATCTCTTTTGTACCCATGTTTCTCCAGCTTTAAACATGTGGCTAATACTTACCATGTTGCATAAAGTATTGACATCTTGGGGGGGATCAAATTAGCCTTTCTACTGCCTTATATTGATTACACTGGTACTGAGTTGGATCAATTTTCTCCTTATCTATTAATTATGGAGAGGTGGTGATGATGGCTGCAAGGAAGACTCTTTTAAAGCTGCCCTCTAGAAACCTTTAATCTGCAAACAGAGTCCCTCCATACTTTTGCTCCAACATGAGAATGAAGGCAGAGGATTGATTGGTTTTCCAAAATAGAAATTTGATTCTGATCAGAAAAAAAAAAAAAAAACAGCAGCCGTATTGAAACAGAACACAGAAGGGCCGAGAAATCCTTTAAATAATTTTGGGAGGCTTTCCTTTCAAAAAGGTAACAGGTTTATTTAAATACAAAGTTACTGTAAAAAACACAGCCCCAAATCAATATATTAACAATTATATCCAGTGTACTCTTTAAAACATACTTGTGATAATTAGGTGCAGTCTATAGTTTTATGTAGTTACAATATCAGACC